CGGGGATTGGCTGGGATTTGCATGCAAATCACATGCAAATGAGGCTTTACATCATTCTTGTTTACACGCGTATAGAAAGCAGGTGCAGACGACGCCTCCTCGAATACAGGGTTTTTTTGGGGTTAAATCGCGTAAATATATAAATGTGTCGTTAAACCCGCCACCACCCGACACAGCCAATTAGTAAGGTTTGTCACGTAAACAGAACATACCAATTCGTTACTAGTACAACAGTTACAACAGTAACGAATCGGCATGTTCCGTTTACGTGACAAACCTTACTAATTGGCTGTGTCGGGTGGTGGCGGGTTTAACGACGCATTTATATACTGTATTTACACGATCTAACCCCAAGCAACCCTGCATTATGGATGATATTGGTCGCGAAAGCCTCCGACGTTGTTAAACTGACGCCTCCTCTGTCTGTATCCCTCCTTAGCGTCATCGGCTCGCTTGTCAGCGTGTTTACGGTCACGTGAATGGCGCGTCAACGACCCTCAACGAGCGAGGAGCTGTCTTTAATGACTTAGCTGCTACTCACTCGTGGAGGGTCGCATTGAAACTTTAACAAAAATATTCCATCCGTTTTTTTCTCTCTCTCTCTCTCTCGCAAAACGCGGTTAGGGGCCGTCCATAAATGACGTCACGCACCTGGGGATGGGGTCAGACATTTGTGATGAAGTGTGACGAGGGATTGGGGGTGGTGAGAAATGTGACGTCACATGAAAATGCGCAACTTTAAATAAATATAGACAACACGTTCTACTTAATTAAATAGACTTTTTTAAAATAAATGTTTTCTCCTGCAACATCAGAGTGCAGCGCCAAATTAAATAAGCACTACAATGACAATAGTTTAAAGCGATTTTAAGCATGTTTTATTTAAATAAATGTTTTCTCCTGCAACATCAGAGTGCAGCGCCAAATTAAATACGCACTACAATGACAATAGTTTAAAGCGATTTTAAGCATGTTTTATTTTAAGACGTCATATTTGAGGGGGGGGGGGTCTGACTTTTTGTGACGCGTGACGTCATTTATGGACGGCCACTTAATTTATCTGCCACCCGGGATAACCTCACACGTGGATTAAAGACTGCAGAGTTCCTGAACTGTGGTTTAAAAAAAAAACGAATCGATGCATCGGTCCGGCCCTATCTTCGCAGGGCGTGAGTGCGTAAATCGAGAAAAAGTGTAATGCCCGTTCCACTTGAAGGTCCCGGCAAGGTTATTTTTTTAAGTGGAGATGAGGGATGGGAATTTAAATGCAGACCTGCGTCTCGGGCTTTTGGCAACAATCAAAGGTCATTTCATGAGCCTGAGATTGCAGCTGGTTTTGAGACGGAGTGCTAAGGCTTCGCACACTCTTAGCGTGAACTGTACTGCCGTGCTGATGAGTGATATTAAGGGGAAAACTACTCGCCGAGTGGATGGGCCTTGATGTTTTGCTCGATGATGCTTTGGCGAATAAGGAGCCATTGTAATCTCCGTCACCATTTTGTAATATCCGTCACCATTGTAATCTACGTCACCATTGTAATCTCCGTCACCATTGTAATCTCCCGTCACAATCCGGAAGAACCCCTGACGGGCAGAAGTGGAACTATGCTGACTTTCAGAATAAATACCTCGTTTGAGACCCAAACATCATCTCATTTCCTGGCTTTGACAATCCTCTAAGTCACTGGCGGTGTAATCATCAACCGCATGAGACCATCAACAGGCCCATCCGCACATCTCCGCCATAATGGAAAATTGGAGACAGAAGCCACGGTATTGCGACTGTTACCATGTAACCCCACGACTATGGCCCGTATAGTAAACAACTGTAGTCTGCGCTCCTTCAACGGAGAAGTAGGAACAGCAAAACTACACGAACTCTCTCCTGAAGCCCTCTCGTGGCTGGCAGAGGCCGACGTTTGGTATTTAGCCCCTGAACATATTGCTGCCATACGCAAGAATAGAATTGTCATCCGAAATCGTAATCATAAGCAGCATCATGTATGTCGTTATATTATCATCGTATTCCTTGTAAATTAACAAAATTTCACGACCACCACCATCATCATCGATTCCATATCTGCATCATCATAAGTTACAAATAGTACACCCGATCTCATACCAATCTCAAAAGCTAAGCAGGTGTTGTAGTTTTGGGTTACTAGGTCACCAGGCGAAGGGACAATGGCAAGGGGTTATTTAATCTCCCTGCGTAGGGTACCAGACAAATCCCAGAGGCCTCCCACATGAAGCCAAACTTCCATTAATGGATTTGGCGAAACAACCAAATCCAGGACCCTCTTGAATGGGAGGATTGAGATGCAGTGATATTTTCCTGGATAAATAAGGGCCCATTGTTATTTTTACCATAGCACCATCATCATTATCACTACATTCATATTTTTTACGTCATCATTTCGACAACGTGACGTTAACTTTGGTTTGTAAAAGAAAACCAGGAATACCGTATTCACTGGATTATAAGATGCTCCGGAAAGTAAAACGCACCAGAAACTGGTGTCCTTTGTCAATACCAAAAAAATAAACAAATCCGGTCACGCACGCACACATGCAGCCACAAGGTTATGCGACGCATCCCCAAATGCATGCCTTCAAATGCTATATAGTATAAGTAAACGAGTACGTCTTATAATCCGGATAATCCGGTAAGACTTGTGAAGCTGCTGTTATCCATAGAATGGCAGCGAAGATTGCATTTGATTCCAGGCCGTGAGAAACGTGTAATCATATTTTGTTCAGCTATATATATTTTTTAAAAAATGTTTGTTTTGTTGTTACAGGCGAGAGCCAGATCGATGAGAGGCCACTTTCATCGATGTCCGCTACCGACCCCTCTCATCGACTTTGAGCCCGAAGTGTTTTCACGGAGACAACGACCCCGGCTGTAGAGGCCACACGCTGTCGATCACAGAAGTCACCTTCAATGAGCTGCACTCGCCCTGCTAGATTTCCACATCCTCAGAGGGGCGATCGAGAAGAGGGTTCAGGAATACACGTGTGTGTGTGTCCCGAACTGCAGCCTCCCAGCTGTAGTCTACATTCACAGAAACACCGTGCGTGCCTCCCAGAGTCCACAATCATAGAGACCCTCTCACTCGACGACAGTCCACAATCATAGAGACCCTGCGTCTGTACTCTACACTCGTAGAGACACCATCACCCTATGAGAGTATTAAGAGGCCGTCTCACTTTACCGGAGTTCACAATCGTAGAGACCGTCACTCTAATTACGAGTCGAGTCCACAATCAGATCGACGGTCGCCCTCTGTTAGTACTCACTCGAGTCCGGGCCCACAGAGACACTACACGCCAGGCGGCGGTGGTCATTGTTGTGTGGCCGTGGGTTCAATGCTCTGGGGTCACGGGTTAGGCGTTGGCCATGATGAATGAGCCTGCGAGTAAGCGCGCGCGTGCGCGTGCGTCCGTGTTGGAGCGCGCGCGTGCGTGCTGGAGCGCTCGCTGCGACTCCCCGGCTACTAGACGATGACAACAGCGGTGTCGCCATGGTAACGGGGGAGAGAGGAAGCGGAGGGGAGAGCCGAGAGGGGAGATGCAAAAAGGAATGTGATAGGAGAGAGAGAGAGACAGAAGGAAGAGGGGAGAGAGAGAGAGCGCGCGTGTGGAGACAGAGAGACAACGGAGAGACAAAGCGGAAGATGAGAGAGAGAGAGGAACAGAGACAGTGAGACTGAGGACGAGAGACAAGAATTTCGATTGGAGACAGGGGAGGAGAGACGTCTGTAACGTAGCTATTGAGTGTGCAGGCGGTACAACCGAGCCAGACCGCACCGGGGCACACGGGACCGAATGGGTCCTTGCGCCGATCCACAAAGAGGGAGGAGGAGAGACAGAAGGAGCTCGTCTCGTTCCGTGTACACAGAGGGTTGCGTGCTAACCACGCTACAACCGCCGAGAGAGTGGAGCGGAGGGGAGAGAAATAGATGAGAAGAGAGGAGATTATGAGACGAGAGGGTATAGGCAAGAGATGAGAGAGACAAAAAGACCGGGTCGAGAGAGGCGAAACAAAGTAGAACAAAGATCCCCCCGCTGTAGCCTCTAACAGACTGTAGGGGCAAGTGCTGTTAGCGAGTAGCACCTATGAAGGCCGGAACGGCACACGAGGATGTGGACGGCCAGCACCACGGCCGGCCGCCTTTGTCTCCCCAGTGCTTGATGTTTGCACATCGCACCAGGTATTCTTGTCAGGCTGAGTCGACCTAGGGGAGGGCCCAGGACCAGTTCAGATATTCGTCACCGGTGTTGGCCGTGAGCGGGAATCGAACCCGGATCGCCGGGTTCGTAGACGCAAGCGCGCTAACCGCTGCACCACCGCTCCCCATTCAAATGCACAGCGACACACCGCGTGCCGCCTTTACCCAATCACCCGGAAAACACCCGCCGGTCTCGGAAGCTAAGCAGGAGTTGAGCCTGGATAGTTTTTGTTTGATTTACGTGCGATGACCATGCATAACGGGTTGATATATAGGCTTATGGGGTTACATGTAGGCCAGTAAACATTTGTGTATATGTTTAGGTATTCGTTGGTTCGATTCCTGACCACGGCTAACATCAGTGCCGGGGTGATATTTGAACCGATCCTGAGCTGCCCTGTTAGAAACTAAACGATTAAAAACGTGTTTTACCAGGTATGGCCCAATGAGCTATAGAGCTCTTTTTAAGAAGCGGCCTGGCCACAAATGATGGCTCAACGAAGTGGCTTATTATCACGTGGAAATGCAAAGCAGCCAAATACTCGAAACGCGTGATGTTCATTCTAAATGTGGAGGGAAAAACCGGAGGACCCGGAGAAAAATCCACGCGACCACGGAGAGAGAGAGAGAGACATGCAAACTCCAAATATACAGCAGCAGACGTCAGGATCGGGTTCGAACCCACAACCTCCCTTGTAAAACAGGCGAGGTTGTTGTGAAATGTGGAAAAAAACAACCTCCTTACAAGACCCGCGCAGCCGGTAGGGGAGGCTGTCATCCAGCCGTGGTTTCACAATGGGCATGGCACACGATGACGATCGCGTGAACACTCTGCGGGCGCGTTAGATGATTTCAACGCAACGTGTACATTACGGACACGCGCGAGGGAGCGATCGCGAGGGCGATTGCTGAATGCGCCGTTGATTTCCGCGACTCCAGGGAATCCCGTGGGTTTCATCGCCCGCCCGGTTAATCCGTGGACGCGCGAACGCACGGCGAATCAATGGACTCTTTAGCAATTGCCTACGCGGGTGTCTCGAGCACCAGGCCGCCGCCGCCGGCGCGCACAGCGGCGTCGCATGTAACGGGCCCGCACACCGTCACCGTCCCGCTGAGTGACCACGCGATGCGGTAGACCGGCAGTCGTGCAATGCTGGTGTGGCCCCCACGCGCGTCAGACTACTCCTCTGCAGGTGAGCCCTTGTCTCCTCGGAGTAATGTTTGTTCGCAATGCTGTAGTGCAGCAGCAGCAGCAGCAGTCCGTTTGAGTTTTTTTGTTTGTTAATCGCACCCATAACCTCTCACCCCCCCCCCCCACCCCAATAAGCCGTTGCGGGTCGTTTGACCATACTTCACCATCGCCGGTGAAGCGGATGCGTTCGTGTGGGTGAATAGAGGCGTCACGACGGCCGGATGTTAATTACCTTGCCTGGTATGCAGGAGGTTGTGGGTTTTATCCCGACCCTGTCGCCCGTCGGATATTCAGCGCCTGCATATACAGACGGGCATGCACGCACGCACGCACGCCCCCCGTGTGTAAACGAGACGCTCTGTTCTTAATGTCCACACATTGATGATGAATACATCCACCAAGAAGAATGAAGACCGCCATTTGAGTGCGTGCCACCTTCAAGGGCCGTTCAAGAGTCATTAGCTGAGACCGCTCCGCCTCTGGCCGTGCAGATGAGGTACCCCACGCCAAGTCTTCACGACTGAGCTTTGACCAAATTAGGCGCAAAAGCAACCACAAAGACAAAGACCCCCCGTATAGCCTGGACAGACTGTTGGGGCAAGTGCTGTTATCGAACACGATGGGATGGGTAACCAGCACCGCGCCCGGCCGCCTTTGTCTCCCCAGTGGCGATGTTTACTGCACACCGCAGCAGGTACTCATTTGAGGCTGAGACGACCTAGGGGAGGCCCAGGACCGGTTCAGATAATCGTCACCGGTATTGGTGGCCGTGAGCGGGAATCGAACTCGGGACCCCGGAGATCGTAGCGCAGCGTAGCGCTAACCGCTACACTACCGCCACCCGCATACCCCCACCCCCCACACGTGTATAACACACACACACACGTGTATGTGTGTGTAACACACACACACATATACGTGCGTGTGTGCGCGCATATAAATCTCTGCTCGCGCCGTGAGCCGCCGGCAGTCAACAGTTTGCGATGTTCCTCCTCCACTGAGCAGCTGCAGCTGCTGCAGCAGCAGCAGTCCCCTACGCTCATGCCGGATCCCCACCTATCCCTGCCGACAGGGGTCCGGGTGATGGAGAGGGGACGAGTGTTGGAGGGGGTGGAGTGGAGGCGGCGGGGGGTGTGAATCCAGCAGCATAGGCGGAGGAGAGCGGGGCGCGCGTGTGCATCCCGGGGACTTGTTTGAGCGGAGATTTTGGGGAGATATAATGATGATGGGTGGCTCGGATTTGCTGCGGGTGATGGTGATGACGATGATGGTGGTGGTGGCGCTGATGGTGGTGATGGTGCCGGAGACACGCGGTAAGACGTTGTGCGCGTGGGCATGTACATATGTGCGCATACATATACAGACACCAACGTTTGCATACACTTCTAATACAAACGATCCACCGGTTATAGCCTTTGCAGGCTGAATATGACAAGTGCCGTTAGCGAGCACCTATGAAGGCTACTTCGAATGCAAAGACAACGGATCTCCCCCCACCCCCCACCCCCGTGTAGCCTCTAAAAAGGCTGCAGGGGCAAGTGCCGTTAGCGAGCACATCTGAATGCCGGCACGGTACACGAGGGGGTAGGGTGGCTAGCACCACGCCCGACCGCCTTTGTCCCCCTTAAGACCACACACGCGGTGTTTATTGGCCAACGTGCTTGAGTTTGTTGTTAATTGTGCTCGCGCACCAGTGCCAACGCAGCAGCAGCAGCACCGCCGCTGATTGAATGTTGACGGCCGTGGCTTAAGAGTGCGGGACAGATCGAGAATCATGTGCGGGGATCTTTAAACATCGCGGTAAATATTGTACCGTAATAGGACACACGCAATACACACGTGCATGTGTGTGATTACATTGAAGTGTGTGCGTGTGGGAAAACAGGTGTGTATGGGGAACAGTATATAATAGACGACGTTTCGGGTAATGGTCCCTCTTCATGGCACACACAGAGAGGCCACAGAGATTTAAGTTTATTGTCTAAAGACCCCAATGGGAGACCGGGTTCTGTCTTATTATTAATATTATCCTAAGACACCATCGGAGACCTTGCTGCAGGGGTGTTTCCCTAATGTCTGATCAGAAATACCGGCTCGGGTATTTAATTTCCAGAACAAAAAACTCCGATCAAAGACCGCTTTTGGTGAAGTCTATTGTGAACACGGTAATACAATTATAAGGCTAAATACCAAACGTAAAGACACCGCTGCGGGATTTGTAGACGTACAGGACAGGTGAATTTGACGTGCGATGCCCCCCACCCCCCACACACATGAATGGCAATTACATTCATAAAGGAAGCGTGCGTCTCCCGATGTAAAGTGGGGCGTTAAACACTCATCGTCATTTCGGTTGTCATTCACGTGAACACTAAGCCATTGTGTGCCAATGCCATAAATACAGTATATATTTGTTTTAAAACAACCCCCACGGGTACATAAACTGTAAGTCAAATCATCGTTAATCTCCCAATGCATTTAACCTTGAGAAACAACAACAACAAAAAGGAACAACGAGTCTCCTCCATTGGCTCTCACTGGGTTAAATATAGGACGTGGTATTTTGGCAGTGTTGCTCGTCTAGAATACAGACCAAACCTACAACAAGGGGTGGCCGGGAGGGTTCAGAGGTCAGAGCGCTGAGCTGGACGCCACTGAGATCCTGGGTTTGGATCAAGGTTTCAGCTGTCCCCCAATTATGTATAAGTGTTGACCATTCTTTCGCACCGGAGATGATTATCTCAGGCCAGTTTCCAATGGCTGCACGCACACACACAAAAAAACATTCATCTTGGTTCTGCACTCAGTGTTGCTAAATTCCAGCTTTGGGAATTAAAAATATGAGATTGACTGATAAGCGACACATGTCACACGCTCAGGTGGCAGGGCGATTGGGAAGGCGCTGCTCAGCACTGCACTGCGTGGACCAGAGGTTCCCTTGAAAGAATCTGAGATGTAGCTCTGTGATATCCGCTTCTGCGGGCCGTTCTCGAAACGAGCAGGGTTTGAAATGCTTTGCGCGAAAAATAATATGAATACATTACTCGCCTCTTGACACGAAGCCGATAGTGCAATCAGAATACGAGGGGAAGATGGGGGGGGAGGATACAAAGTGACAAAAGAGAGACAGGTTTGAGGCTGACTGAGACACAATATTGGACACTGGCCATTAAGTGCCTCCTAGCTCTTAGCTAACGGAGACCTTTTTGACCTGAGCACGGCCGTCACATTCACCCGGACTTCACTCGGACAGTCCCGCCCACCGCCAGCATGGGCCAATCAAATCGCTCACTGGCAGTGCTTGTGGGAGGGGTTGTGTCAGATTAGAATGTGAATTATAAGTTGGGCGGTGGCGCAGTGGTAAGCGCATGGGGCTGCGAACTCAGACACCTGAGTTAGATTACCGGGCCCACGGCTAACGTGAGTGGCGAGTGCGATATCAAAAGCCGTCCAGGGCTATCCCCTTCAACCAGCGTGGCGAAGTATGGTCAAACACCTCCGATTAGCACGGTTGGCTACGTACGGTGCGAAAGAAATTCAACATACATCAACATACAACTGACTCCCCCATGTCCGATACGGTGTAAGAACGCCTTCGTCCAGCGGTGAATTAACAACGTGCAGTGATAAATAGCGAAAAGGGTAACCTCCCTCCCACCCAATCACTAGGTGACGATTGGGGGGGGGGTCAGATTTAAAAATTATCTCCCTACTCACCTCTGTCGCTATTTTGTAATTCCAGCGATGCACATTCTACATCCCTCTACGGTTCATAAGCGGCTAGTTACAGTTACAACCCCACCATTGATTTATCTGCACCGGTTGTGTTGCGGTTGAAATTGGGGTTATAGTTTATGGGTTAATGTTGAGTACAGTTGTGATGAGACTCCAATCCCTCTGGGTTTATGGTACAGATCTGGGCTCGGTCTCTCGTGGGTGTATAATTAATTGAGATCTATTCTTTGGTTATTTCGGTAAAGTAACGTAGATAGTAAAAATAATATTAAAGTGAATAAAAATATAACGTTTCGATCGCAACACAAGCGGTCGTCATCAGACTTTACCGAAAGAACTAAAGATTCCTGCAGTCACGAAAGTTTTAAGTCAAAATCCCATTGAGATCTCCCCCCGGTCGCCGTTGGGAGTGTTAGGGTTCACATCTGGCCCACAGTTAAGTCGCCCGTGGGTTGGTAATGAATTACTGTATTATATGAACGAGACCTGCGAGTCAAGGAACGTATGGGTTCACGCCTGAGTTAGGGTGGGCACCATGGTGGCGAGATGTTAACTACCTCGCCTGGTATGTAGGAGGTCGTGGGTTCAATTCAGACCCTGACGCCTGCTGTATATTTGGAGTCTGCATGTTCTCTCTACCCGTGCTCGCGTGGATATCTTTCTCTGGCTACTCAGGTTTTTCCCTCCACATTTAGAAACACGCGTTTAGGGTATTTGGGTGCAATATATTTCCACACCATGAGCTGCTTCGCCGAGCTATCATTTGTGGCCAGGTCGCTTCTGAAAAAGAGCTATATAGCTCAGTGGTCCTTACCTGGCAATTAAAAACATTGTTCAGTTTATAGCTTAGGGTTAAGTGTTTAACGCGTTTTATATAGACTCCCCACGCTCCTTTTGTTAGCAGTGGCGTCAACAACATTATTGTCATAATCATCGCGTGGCGTATCGTCGTTTAGAATGGGCCCGAGTGCAAGGAATGGAATGGAATGGAGCCACCCACCCCCTGTTGGGGTTCCCCTCCCTCTGGGCCCCCCCTCTGGCCAATGGACCCTGGTGCAGTTGCACCGCCTGCGCACTCGATAGTAAGATACGCCACTCTTAGTTCGGGTTCTCAGCTTGGTCAGGGTTAGGATCTGTCCGTAGGTTTGTATAAAGCGTCCTATAAATGAGGCCACCAAATCTCCTCCGCTAGGCGGTTGCGGGTTAAGTGCTCAATGGGGTTAAAGGTAGACCTCTCGCTCTCATTGTACGGGATCGCATCTGGGTCAGGCGCAGGTCTCCCGTGGGGTTGTAACGAGGAATATGAATGAGACCGAGTCCCTAAGGACCTCCAATGAGTCAGAGTGGCCCTGCGACCAGCCCCCACCATCTCCAAATCCATCCCCCCCACCCCGCTCCCCTGTGCTGGAGGAGCTCAATCAGCCAAAGCCCCTCGCTCCCAACCACCCGCCCCTAAAAGCCAATTAGTGTGCACCCACACGCACTGCCAGCTTTGTGTCCCACATGTGCGTCCTTGTGTCTGTGTTGTCCTTGTTGATATGATCGTGTGTGTACGTGTGTGTGGGTTGCGGTGGCGTAGTGGTTAGCGCGCTACGCTATGAACCCGGCGACCCGAGGTAGATTCCCGCTCACGGCCACCACACCAGTAGCGAATATCTAAACCGGGTCCTGGGTGTCCCCTAGGTCGACTCAGGCTCAATTGCGTACCTGGTTCGATGTGTAGACTGCGTCACGAGGGAGACAAAGGCGGCCGGGCGTGGTGCTGGAACACCCACTCCCATCGTTTGCCGTGCCGGCCTTCATAGATTCTCGCTAACAGCACCGGCCCCAATAGTCTGTTGAAAACTACGCGTGTGATATTTGCATTCGTGTATGCATTTGGAGCGGCGGCGCGAGTGATGAGCGCGCTGGGAGTCGACGGCCAAGTTCGGCGAACGAATATTTGAACCGATCCTGGGGCCTCCCCTAGGTCGGCTCGGCCTTAAAAGGAGTAGGTGCGTTGCGCGCTGCCAAGGATCAGAAGTTTATTTCCCGAAGTAAAGCCCAGCCCATTGAGATAAGAAGCTCACTCTCTCTTTTCCAAGGGCCACTCGGTCGGCAGACAACATTAAAGACGGTGCCGTTGTTGTAACCAACATCAGGTGCGGAGGAGGTGATGGCGAGGAGCATCCACGCGGAGGAGCGGCTGCTGCAGGCGCTGCTCACCGGGTACAGCCGCTGGTCGAGGCCCGTGCGCAACAGCACCCACGTGGTGTACGTGCGCTTCGGGCTGTCCGTGGCGCAGCTCATAGACGTGGTGCGCAACACACACACAACACACAGCACACGTGTATATACGCACAGCACACGTGTATATACGCACACAGCACACGTGTGTATACGCACACAGCACACGTGTGTATAAGCACACAGCACACAGCACACGTGTGTATACGCACACAGCACACGTGTGTGTATAAGCACACAGCACACGTGTGTGTATAAGCACACAGCACACGTGTGTGTATAAGCACACAGCACACGTGTGTGTATAAGCACACAGCACACGTGTGTGTATAAGCACACAGCACACGTGTGTGTATAAGCACACAGCACACGTGTGTGTATAAGCACACAGCACATGTGTGTATATAAGCACACAGCACACGTGTGTATATACGCACACAGCACACGTGTGTATAAGCACACAGCACACGTGTGTGTACGCACACAACACACGTGTATATACGCACACAACACGTGTATATTACGCACACACGTCTAAATACACACACAACACACGTGTATATACGCACACAACACGTGTATATTACGCACACACGTCTAAATACACACACGTGTAACATACACACGTGTAACATACACACGTGTAACATACACACGTGTAACATACACACGCGTGTTCAACCACACAAAGATCAGCATTACTTTGGCTGTGTCAGGTGGCGCACGACGCAATATTTTACTCACGCGATCCGTCTCGAAAAAAATCAATTACCAATCATCATATTGGTCGCGAATTCCGACTGCGTGTTTTTTTTAATTTGCCCCCCAATTAGCCGAAATATATAATGAGCATATAATTTACATTCATTATAAGTAATCGATTCACACACAGACGCGCACGGCGATTCAATCAATGCACGTGTAGCGAGCTTAAGAATTGATTGGAAGTGGTGAATCGTGCCTAAACTAAAATTTGTTGTCTTGTTTATTGTTTTTAACGTACGGTGACACCTGTCTGATGAAGACGTGTGAGTTTCATAGTTTAGTTTCATAGTTTCATTTATTTGGTATAGCCCTGTGAGCCATTCGGCTCTTGAATCGGGTGCAACCGCAACAAACAAAAAAACATGAACAAGAAAACATCTTAAAGTGACTTTGTGCATGTGCAAACAGAAAATCCAGGATAAAACATCAAAATATTCCTGAAATAGCACCGTACACCAACGCTGTGTGCAAAAATCCCAGTGGGATGCTAGTCAAACAACAACAAGAAAACTTAGATTAAGGTCATCAGTCTTAACTCCGTACTACAATTAACAAAAACATGGCCAAACCAAAAAACTTTTAGAAATCACCAAAATAAAGCCATAAATGCAATGTAACAGTGATCATAGGAACTGTGACCGAATTATTAACAGAGAGATGTCGCTTTTGTCTCACAGGATGAAAAGAATCAAATGATGACGACTAACGTGTGGCTAAAGCAGGTAATTGTTAATCAGTCACTCCACGATTGTCGTGGTGTCGTCGTCGTCATTTTTGTAACATCTCAACGTTATGAATGGGTGGCAGCGATGGTGTTGGATGTTAACGGTGGTGCTGATGTTGGTGGTGATGTTCGTAATGATGATTGTGATGTTCGTGTTGATGGTGGTAATGTTGGTGGTGTGTACGGTGATGATGTTGGTGGTGTGTATGGTGATGATGTTGGTGGTGTGTATGGTGATGATGTTGGTGATGATGTCCGTGGTGATGATGTTGGTGGTGATGGTGACGGTAGTGCTGATGTTGGTGGTGATGTTCGTAATGATGATGGTGATGTTCGTGTTGATGGTGGTAATGTTGGTGGTGTGTACGGTGATGATGTTGGTGGTGTGTATGGTGATGTTGGTGGTGTGTATGGTGATGATGTTGGTGTGTATGGTGATGATGTTGGTGGTGATGTCCGTGGTGATGATGTTAGTGGTGTGTATGGTGATAATGTTGGTGGTGTGTATGGTGATGATGTTGGTGATGATGTCCGTGGTGATGATGTTGGTGGTGATGGTGACGGTGGTTCTGATGTTGGTGGTGATGTTCGTAATGATGATGGTGATGTTCGTGTTGATGGTGGTAATGTTGGTGGTGTGTATGGTGATGATGTTGGTGGTGTGTACGGTGATGATGTTGGTGGTGTGTATGGTGATGATGTTGGTGGTGTGTATGGTGATGATGTTAGTGGTGTGTACGGTGATGATGTTGGTGGGGTGTATGATGATGATGTTGGTGGTGATGTCCGTGGTGATGATGTTGGTGGTGATGGTGACGGTGGTGCTGATGTTGGGGGCTCATGTTCGTAATGATGATGGTGATGTTCGTGTTAACGGTGGTGCTGATGTCGGCCAATGATGTTGGTGGTGACGGTGACGGTGTTGATATCGACAACGACGACGATGGCGGCGGTGGTGATTGACGCTAGGAGTGGCACGACTACAAGCTGCAGTGGGACCCCGCGGACTACGAGAATGTCACGTCCATCCGCATCCCGGCGCAGCTCATATGGGTGCCGGACATCGTGCTCTACAACAAGTGCGGCACAGCAGCACCGCGGGCACGCACAGCGACACAGCACCATGCCACGGAGTGGCCACACAAACCCCACTTAGGGGCCGTCCATAAATTACGTCACGCACCTGGGGGGGTGGGGGGGGGGTAAGACATTTGTGACGATGTGTGACGAGGGGAAGGGGGGGGTTGAAAAATGTGACGTCACGTCAAAATGCGCAACTTTAAATAAATATAGACAACACGTTCTACTAAATTAGACTTTTTTTAATGTGTTCTCTTACAACATCAGAGTGCAGCGCCACATTAAATACGTACTACAATGACAATAGTTTAAAGCGACTTGAAGCATGTTTTATTGGAGGGGGGGGGAGGGGGCAGAGCTTCGTGACGTCATATTTTGAGGGGGGGGGTCTGACTTTTTTTGTGACGCCAAAATCGCGTGACGTCATTTATGGACGACCCCTTCGACATGGAGTGACACGGGGCTGAGACACAAGACCACACGGAGCGACAGACAGCCTCGTAGCCAGCGTGCACAGTCCACGCGTCCAGCCGCGCAGGCTCCACGCACTCACGCAGGGCCACGCCACGACGCACGGAATTACGCAGCGGGATAAGACGCACGCTGGGATTATTCCGCACGGCATCGTCGGACAGGGGCCAAGCTACACTAGACCGCGACGCACCTGGCCACGGCACACCATGCCCACGCGCGTCTGTATCTGTTCGCGCGTGGGGAGCGGTAGTGTAGCGGTCAGCGCTCTGCGCTGCGGACCCGGCGACCCAAGTTCGATTCCCGCTCACGGCCAACGGCAGTGACGATCGTCTGAACCGGTTCCTGGGCCTCTCCTCGGTCGACTCAGCCGAAATATGAGTACCTAGTTCGGTGTGCAAACATCGCCACTGGGGAGACAAAGGCGGCCGGGCCTTTTTGTTTGCCAACCACCCCCTCGTGCGCTGTGCTCGCCAACAGCACTTGCTCCAACAGCCTGTCAAGGCTACACGGGAGATCTTTGTCTTTGTAGCGTGCAGAGTGTCACAAACGCACCGTGCCACACAGCGCCCGCTGTGCCACCCGGCGCTATCGACGCGTCGCCACCTCATTATTCCGACCCGCACCGCGTCACGTCGCACTCCTGCGGGCCAGCCGACAGCACGGAGCACACGAAGCCACCCACAGTTCCAGTAGCGCATCCAGAGTGTGCAGGCGGTGCAACTGCACCGGCGCCTGCGGGGGGCCGGTGGGGGCCTCGCGACCGAATGGGCTCTGCGCGAGAGGAGGAAATTTAAAGGGGCCCCGTGCCGACCACGATATTCCGCTGACTCCGCATCGTCAACCTCCCCCTACCTCTTCCTACCGATCTCCACCAATCTCTACAACCACGCACCTACCCCTCCCCATCTACATTCTCCTATCTCCATTGATATCCACCCACTCACATCTCACCTACCTCCGCGGCTGTCTGTCCCCATCGTGTCCCCTGCTGTGTATTTTGATCTTTCTGCCCGTGTCCCCACGTGCCACTGTGTCTCTGCTGCCTTCATGTCCCCGCCGTGTCTCTCCTGCCGTCCCCACCATGTCCCCGCCGTGTCTCCCTGTGTGTGCTCCTCACCGAGTGCCCCACGCGTGTGCGTCTCTCTCTCTCGGTGTCTCCCAGCGCGGACGGCGACTTCGCGGTGACGCACGTGACCAAGGCGCAGCTGAGGCACACGGGCGACGTGCGCTGGACGCCGCCGTCCATCTACAAGAGCTCCTGCAACATCGACGTCACCTTCTTCCCGTTCGACCAGCAGAACTGCAAGATGAAGTTCGGCTCGTGGACCTACGACAAGGCCAAGATCGACCTGGTGAGCATGCACACGGACGCCGACCTCAAGGACTACTGGGAGAGCGGCGAGTGGGCCATCGTGAAGGCGGTGGCGAGGTACAACACCAAAAAGTACGACTGCTGCCCGCAGGTCTACCCCGACATCACCTACTCGTTCATCATCCGCCGCCTGCCGCTCTTCTACACCATCAACCTCATCGTGCCCTGCCTGCTCATCTCGTGCCTCACCGTGCTGGTCTTCTACCTGCCCTCGGACTGCGGCGAGAAGATCACCCTGTGCATCTCCGTGCTCCTGTCGCTCACCGTCTTCCTGCTGCTCATCACCGAGATCATCCCGTCCACGTCGCTCGTCATCCCGCTCATCGGCGAGTACCTCCTCTTCACCATGATCTTCGTGACGCTCTCCATCGTCATCACGGTGTTCGTGCTCAACGTTCACCACCGCTCGCCGGCCACACACAAGATGCCGCGCTGGGTGGTCACGCTCTTCCTCGACGTCATACCGCGCTGGCTGCTCATGTGCCGGCCCGTCCACTCGACCATCGGCAGCGCCGGCGGCGGCGGCGGTGTTGCCGTTGCCACCGCTGTCCCCAATCTGACTGCGCGGAGGTCTTCCAAACACTACTTCCACCAGCAGCAGATGATGCAGCAGCAGCACTGTCATCAGCACCACCAGCACCACCAACAACGTGGTAACGGTCACAGCGGCGGAGATCACCACCTCCATCAGCTGCGGAATCTACAACTTCAGCAGCAGCAACAACAACAGACGCAGCATAATCATAATCAGCAACAGCACAACCACCAGCAGCAACATCAACAGACGCAGCAAAATCATAATCAGCACCAGCATAATCATCAGCAGCATCAACAGCAGCAGCAGCAAGGGGATGACGGCTGCAAGCTGGGCTTGGTGCTGGACCTGGACGGGCTGCAGATGACCGACGACAAGCCCAGGGCGGCGTCTTCCTCGTGCACGTGCAACGGGGTCGGCGCGGCGGGATCGGCGGCGCCGTCAGCCCCAGCGTCGCCAGCGCCTTGGGACCACTGCGGGGCCAGGGCCCAGGGAGGCCCGGGAGAGTGCCTGGATTTCTCCGGGGCACCCGCGACCCTCTGGCAGGCCATGGAGGGCGTGTGCTACGTCGCCGACGAGCTGAGGGCCGGAGATGCCGACTACGCCGTGAGTGGTTGTGGTGGTGGTTATGGTGGCGGTGGTGGTTTCGGTGGTTAGCGCACTGCGCTACGAGCCCGACAACCCGAGTTCCATTCCCGCTCACGATCAATAACAGTGACAGGGAATGTTTGATCCGGTCCTGAGCCTCCCCGAGGTCATCATCATCATCATCGTTGGTATCAGCATTGCAATCGACATGATCAGGCATTAGCATTGTCAACAGCATAATCTACATCAACATTATCAGCATTGTCATTATAATTAACATCTGCATCATAATCAACATCACCATCAACATTGTTGGCATCATCATCATCACCAACATCAGCATCATCAACATCATCAGTATCAGCATCATCGGAGCATCATTGTGATCACCATTGCCAACAGCATAATTGGGATCAACATCATCAACAACATCACATGCATCAGCACCTTCGCTAAAATAATCATCATCAAAAAACCATCAACGATATCCTAAATTGTTTCGTGATATGTCATGCAATAAAATACCGTAATTCGTTTTTCTGGATTGAAATAGCCAGCAGAGCAGAGATAATTTAAAATCAGTATCGTTTGTCTGATAATGGGAAACCATTCATTGGCCAATTTTTTAAACCGTTCATGGGGAAATATTTGTAATTGTAATCCTCATCAGGCCCCATGGTGTTTGCTGCAGTCTCAAACTCTTATCCATTCTATCTCTCGGGCCTCACTATTTTATGTGCTATGAAAAAGGGTAATTGCCCGAAACGTTGCCTATTATACCCCCCCCCCCCCCCTTTAAGGCCACGGTGTCATTGACGAATATGTTGAGTTCAAATAAAAATGCATTATTCGTACGCGTGCACCACTGCCAATGCAGCAGCACCACTAAATAATTAATCTGATAAACAGCGCCGCCTGCTGATCATCACCACCACCAACAGCTCCAAAGACAAAGATCACCCGTATAGCCTTGACAGACTGTTGTGGCAAGTGCCGTTAGCGCGCGCCTATGAAGGCCTGCCGCCTTTATCTCCCCAGCGGCAATATTTACACCACCGCAGCAGCTACTCGTTTGAAGCTGAGTCGACCTGCTTAACAAAGAGGCACACACGGCCCTCCCCGCGGCGTCTACAATGGACACTCCGTCGTAGGCAGATGAAAGCAGCGATTTCCCGAGTCTGGAATTAAACGGCGAGAGGGAATCAAGAGCACGGATATCAGGAGGAGCCGATTTCTGACATAAGCTGCCCAACCCCTGAGACAGAGACACTCAGACAAGCCAGGGCTTGAACTCTGGCAACTGAGTTCAAGCCCTGGCTGTCTGGGTGTCTCTAACACAGGGGTCGCCTCCCTCTGAGACAAGACAAAGACCCCCCTCCCTCCCCGTATAGCCTTAACAGACTGTTGGGGCAAGTGCTGTTAGCGAGCACCTCTGCGACAGACACACACACACCAACGCACGATCCCTATGAGTGACCCAGCTGAGGTCTTCAGAGAGGTTGAGGCTCAACTAAAAGCTGCCAGATTTCTGGGAGACTCAACCGGGACTCATGGGGACCGTCAGGTCCATACCGCTCCCGTGAACTCAGTCCACTACTCGGGGAGCTCACATCTTGGGCCGTATCACGGGTTGAGCATGAAGTCAGAAGGTATATCAGGGCGCCACGCTGGCTAGGAGATGTTAACTACCTCGCCAGGTATACAGGAGGTCGTGGGTTCGATCCCGATCGTGACGGCTGTATATTTGACGCCTGCATATACAGACGGCCATGGGCACACGCGCCCGTGTGTAACGAGACGTTCTGTTCTTAATGTCCCTACATTGATGATGAGCACATCCACCAAGGAGAATGAAGACTGCCCCCCCCCCCCGTGGTCGCGTAGATTTATATATGAGTCCTTCCACATTTAGAATATGCATTTAGAGTATTTGGCTACTGCTAAAGATTTCCACATAATAGGCCACTTCGTTGAGCTATCATTTTGTGGCCAGGTCGCGTCTGAAAAAGCTGTATAGCTCGGTGGGCATTACTTGGTAAAATAAAACATAGAGTGTATAGATTCCGATTAAACCGGAGGTCAAAGTGTTGATAGGGGTGGGGGGTGCAGGAGGGTGGAGGCGGGCGGAGGGAGGGCAGCAGGACAAACTCTCTAAAATCAACGGGAGTAGGACTCTTCCTGGATCATCATCTTCTCGGGTGACCGAGGAGCTCTTGTGAGACTTTGGTTCATGTGCACGCATTTTTTTCCCTTGCCTCCGCTGGCACAGGTGAAGGAGGACTGGAAGTACGTGGCCATGGTGATAGACAGAATCTTCCTGTGGGTCTTCGTCCTCGTGTGCATCTTCGGGACGTTTGGACTCTTCTTGCCCCCCTGGATCGCCGGAATGCTGTGACCTGGGCCAGCGCTGGACGTGTGACTCCGGGATCTGCCATTCGCCGATTTAGGGGGTGGCGGAGAGAGAGAGAGAGGGCTGGGATAGGGGGCAGAGAGATGGAGATGTGTGCACTGTATTTATGAACGATTGAAATAGTGTTTTGATGTCTTAAAAGCGTTTAAAAGGTAAATTAATAAAACTATTTAACAGGGTTGAACGAAGGAAGGTGAAATTATGAAATTCATCATCGTCGTTGTTTCTGACCGCCTGACGTTTAAGGCACATTTATTTGTGTTCAGTATATGTCATCAAATATCATCATAATCGTCATTCAGTTACTGCTTAAAACAAATACGACCGCGTAATGGTGTGTGTGTTTTAAGGTCTCATCAGAAATTATATTTATATTGTGCTTAAACGAAGATGGTCGTGTGACGTAAAGGAGATATATCCGTTGTGTTCGTTAAATTGGCACGCATCATTGCACACACAGCGCGTGTATGTATTTATTTATTGATTACAATGTATTATGCACAGTGTGTGTGTGTATATATACATACACATACTAGATGTTTATAGCACGCAATCTATATTCATGTGCAATGGACGATGTGTACCATGTTACACAAACACACAGGTACACAAAGACAAAGATCCCCCGTGTAGCCTCTAACAGGTCTTCAACAGACTTTTGGGGCAAGTGCTCTTAGCGAGGACCTATGAAGGCACAATAGGCGGTCATGGATGTGGCTAACACCACGCCCGGTCGTCTTTATTTCCCCAGTGCTAATGTTTACACATTGCACTCAGGTACTAATTTAAGGCTGAGTCGATCTAGGGGAGGCCCGGAATAGGTCCAGATATTCGCTACCACTGTTATTGGTCGTCGGCGGTAATCGAACTCGGATCGCCGGGTTCATAGAGCAGTGCGCTAACCGCTGCGCCACCGCTCCCCATAATGCCACACACACTGACACACACACTCAAAGGCGTTGTTGTCTGAAATAAACCATGGTTCCTCTCGTCTGAGTAAGCTCCTCATTCGCAGGAACCCTCCTGCAGTGTGCAGTCCTGCATTACAGTCCATATATACTGCATTTATGACGCAATTATCTGCTTCCGTATGGCAAGATGGTTCAGGAACTGAATGCCCATTACGAGGTCTGCTGCTGCTGGCCGCAACGAGACGTCTTCAGCAGAGGGAGAGAGAGTTCGTGTCGTTTTGCTGTTCCTCCACTGAAGGAGCGCAGACCACAGTCGGTTTACCCATACGGTCCATAATTTGTGATGCATGGCCACAATCGCCACTCCTGTGACTTGTCTTCAGTTTATCTAGATGGGTCGCTATCTCTATGAGTCTCTATGAGTCTCGTCCTATCTGTATGGGCCTCTATGAGTTTTACTATATGTCGTCCATAGTTTGGGTTGCATGGCCACACTCGCAACGCCTTTGGCTTGTGCCTTTAAAGTTTCATTTGTGAAAGAGATGTGCGCAACGGCCTGTTGACGATGATCTGGTGATGCGATTGATGTCAAAGCCAGGAGGCACGATGAGACCCCATCATCAACCAAGACCTCGGCAATGTCCCTCGCCGTCGTCTCCAGTCCTTGAGGGATCGCGCTGCTGTCACCATCCTAGAATCACACTGCAGGTCCGGATTGAACGCCGGCGAACAGAGTGGAACAGCGCAGACGTCCAGAAGAAACATCTTCATCGAGATCCCAAACATCATCGCACCTCCTGGCTTTGACATTCCTCCTCGAAGACACCACCGGTGGTTGTCACCATCAACGGCATCTGAACTTCAACAGACACGCGCCACAGTCGTGCGACGGTGGGCCACGCAACCCAGAACTGTGGACCGCGTAGTAAACCACCGGAGTCTGCGTTCCGTCGACGGAGGAGAAGCAGCAAAACTACACGAAACAAACTCTGCCCTTGAAGCCCTCTCGTCGTGACTGGCAGACCTTGACGTTCGCATTTTATCTCCTGGACGTATCGCTGCCACGACGCGCAAGGAGTAAATTTTAATTGTAATCAAGGGGCCCGGAGGCAATCTGTGAGGCTCGTGACGCGAGTGCCTGGGTTGGCTACAGGACGCCGTGGGGATTTGATCCTCATGGCGGTACCCAGGGGTACCAAATAATACGAAATGGCCCAGGCAATTAAATATTTTATTTCTGGGACACTATTTTTATCCCCAGGGGTGTAACTTAACTCCGCGACTGGGGTAACCAATCAATCCGAAATCCGTGCCACACTCCGCGATGTCGAAACGCAGCGAGGGCGATTGCGCTGAAACCCTGAACGCTCGCGGTACGCACCGTGGCGGTGGTGCATCGTGAGTACGGCTCGTCGAGATGAGTCGATTGCCGCATCGCCGACCATCAACAGACTAAAACTGACTGCATCACGGACATCGTGCGAGAGCCGGGATACTATGGAACCCCGGAGTGCCGCCATAAAGTTCACTTGTTAAACACCACCCACCGCGCAGGTGTTGGCCTCTGTGCTGTGCGTAGCTCTCCCAAGTGTTTCCCCGTTGTACCGCGTTTTTGCTCCGCTCGATGTCCGACGTTCCGCTCCACGCTTCCCTCCACGTGTCGGCAGCTCCTTCCGGGAAACGAACAGCGGCTCCCGCGATGTCCAAAGTTTCGCTGCCCACGTGCCGGGAGCCTATTTGAGGAGCCGAATGGAATCGAAATGGCAGTTGCCGAAGAAGCTCGGAGCACGTCGAACTAAGCATCCGACGTCCTGCCGATTCACACGTCGCAGAGGGTGGCACCAGTGGTGAACTTTGCCTCCGAGCTGCACGGTTTGCGTGGAATCATCTGTAAAGGCAGGAAGTCCTCATTCGCTCCCATTGCACACAAAGTGCTTGCCACAAATGAACCACAATACCTTGCTGGTCCTCGACAAGGAGCATAAACCATCACCACTCTCGCTCCGGTCATCCTCGCAACAGCAGCGGCTTTTGGCTGATCATCGAACAAATACGATCACTGCATCGCGCCCTTTTAGACCCGTTTCTGCGCTCGTCTGGAACGCTCTTCCTTCCGATAATAGGAACCCACTGGAGCAATAATAATTATTTTTTTAAAATCTGGATTGAAAACTAACTTCGTTAGAACTGCTTTGTTACGTTCAGTTTGTTGTTATTTCCCCGCATCTTCCATTCGTACGGTTGGCTACGTACGATGTGAAAGAAATTCAACGTACGGCACGTACACTCTGGACGTCCGCGTTGTTCCGTCTCTGTTCGCCTCTGGGTGAGATTCTGTATCGCGTGGTGAAAGCAGTGCCGGTCCCAGCAGAGGGATAACGAAATGATCGCTGAACATCACGGACCAACCCACCATGCATACGGCAGCTGTGAATGGGCCGCTGCTGCGTGGCTATGCAGAACAATATATTGTTGTATTGCACTATACTCCAATCTATGCTCACACGTCTAATGCTACGGCCCCCCGCCTCATGCTTCACTATCCCGCACTGGTGGTGAAGTATGGTCCAATAACGACTCGCACGGAGTGGGGGAAGCCCTCACCCAATGGTAGTGGATTGACAAAGGGCCTGTATGGATTAGTTCATTATTACCATTCCACGACGGTACACGTGTACAACTTGATGTATTGTCCGCTCACATTCTGCCAAGTCGACATGTTCTAGGTCTGGTTCGTGTTAAGGCGTGGAGGCAGGATGGGTGGGGGGGAGATGGGGGAGGTGAAGGGGGAGCGCTTGGGAGGTGGAAGGTGGGGGTGGGAGACGTGGGGGGGGGGCACGCGGGGTGGGGGGGGGGGGAGACGTGGGGTGGCGGGGAGACGTGGGGGGGGGGGTGTAGACGGGGGGGGGCTCTCTGTCTGGCCAAAGGTGTTTACTTTAGCTCACATTACCTCTGCTGTGGGGATCTTGCAAACCCACAGTTTGAACCTGCGCAACGCACACACAAAGGTCCCCGTATAGCCTGTATAGGATGTTGGTGCAAGTGCTGTTAGCGAGCAGCTATTAAGGCCAGCAACGGCGCTCGACTGTCAGCGCCCTGAAAAGGAAAACTCTCAATCCAATAAATAAACAACAAAAACCCCCTCCATTCTCTGTGAGAAAAGTCCCTTGAATTGATTGGACCGTCCTCGTCCATGCAGCCCTAACAAAGGTCAAAAGGTCAGCGTAAGATTTCGTGCTCAGACGAGCGGCAGTCTTGCTGGCTGATCATGTAAGAGAGCAATTGCGGCAGTCGAGCCAGATGATTGCGGCAGGGGGAGGGATAGCGGAGTGGGCGGTGCATCGCTTCTGCGATGATGCCTCCTCCTTCGTATTTGTGAATCGGGCCTTGAGTTGTCTACGTTAGATCTTCCATGGCCCTGTTCTGGCTAGCCGCAGTCGCCGCCGCACACCGCCGGAGAGTTTTAAAATGTCCTTTTTGTGCGTCATCATCATCAAGGATACCCGCATTCGCTTCTGCCACGGTTTGTTCAGATGCAGTGTAAGGTTGGCGACAAATGAGCATTGAGGTCAATCTCACGTTTACAGCAGTGGACCAGTGGTGGAAATTACACATTCCCATGGCAGGAGACGGGTCTCTTCCTAGGACGACCACAATTGACCTCCCGACAAAGCGGTTACCTATTTTATCGACCCGGATGGATGGTGGGCTGAGTCAATCCCCCCACCCAACCAGGATTTGAAACATGCACTCTTTTTTACCGATTGTGAGCCGTTCGCTCTACCACTGAACGACATGGCCGGTTTACACCCTTGCACACGTGTTTAAAAAAGACACATTCACCAACTTCATGATTTGTCATGAGCATTTCTTTACATGAGAAATCGAAACAAACAAATGCGCCCCCCCCTTCCCCCCCCCCCCCCAAAAACCCCCATATAGAGCGGTATGATTACATTTTAAAATCAGAATGTGAATATTGCTTAAATCAATTGGGTTGGTACAGTGAGGGAAAAAAGTATTTGATCCCCTGCTGATTTTTGTACGTTTGCCCACTGACAAAGAAATGATCAGTCTGTAATTTTAATGGTAGGTTTATTTGAACAGTGAGAGGCAGAATCACAACAAAAAATCCAGAAAACGCATGTCAAAAATGTTATAAATTGATTTGCATTTTAATGAGGGAAATAAGTATTTGACCCCCTCCCAATCAAAAAGAATTCTGGCTCCCAGGTGTCTTTTATACAGGTAACGAGCTGAGATTAGGAGCACACTCTTACAGGTAACGAGCTGAGATTAGGAGCACACTCTTAAAGAGAGTGCTCCTAACCTCAACTTGTTACCTGTATAAAAGACACCTGTCCACAGAAGCAATCAATCAATCAGATTCCAAACTCTCCACCATGGCCAAGACCAAAGAGCTCTCCAAGGATGTCAGGGACAAGATTGTAGACCTACACAAGGCTGGAATGGGCTACAAGACCTTTGCCAAGCAGCTTGCTGAGAAGGCGACAACAGTTGGTGCGATTATTCGCAAATGGAAGAAACACAAAAGAACTGTCAATCTCCCTCGGCCTGGAGCTCCATGCAAGATCTCACCTCGTGGAGTTGCAATGATCATGAGAACGGTGAGGAATCAGCCCAGAACTACACGGGAGGATCTTGGTAACACACTACGCCGTGAATGACTGAAATCCTGCAGCGCCTGCAAGGTCCCCCTGCTCTAGAAAGCACATATACAAGCCCATCTGAAGTTTGCCAATGAACATCTGAATGATTCAGAGAACAACTGGGTGAAATCTTGGGTGAGAACCTCCTTCCCTCAGCCAGGGCATTGAAAATGGGTCGTGGATGGGTATTCCAGCATGACAATGACCCAAAACACACGGCCAAGGAAACAAAGGAGTGGCTCAAGAAGAAGCAGATTAAGGTCCTGGAGTGGCGTAGTCAGTCTCCAGACCTTAATCCCATAGAAAATCTGTGGAGGGAGCTGAAGGTTCGAGTTGCCAAACGTCAGCCTCGAAACCTTAATGACTTGGAGAAGATCTGCAAAGAGGAGTGGGACAAAATCCCTCCTGAGATGTGTGCAAACCTGGTGGCCAACTACAAGAAACGTCTGACGTCTGTGATTGCCAACAAGGGTTTTGCCACCAAGTAATAAGTCATGTTTTGCAGAGGGGTCAAATTCTTATTTCCCTAATTAAAATGCAAATAAATGTATAATATTTTTGACATGCGTTTTGCTGGATTTTGTTGTTGTTATTCTGTCTCTCGCTGTTGAAATAAACCTACCATTAAAATTATAGACTGATCATTTCTTTGTCAGTGGGCAAACGTACAAAATCAGAAGGGGATCAAATACTTTTTTTCCCTCACTGTAAATCTGCATACACACACAAGCAGATTCCCATTTAGCCGGTGTGTACTGCATATATATTATACATACACACACATACACGTGTACTTAATGGGACACATGCCAAGGCGCTTTACTCCCGGCTTCCCGTGTCTGTAATGACTTCCCTGTGTGTGTGTGGCGTTGAGAGAGTGGTGGCGCAATGGTTAGTGCACCGCGCAACAAACCCGGCCCGCAAGGACATCCATTCCCGGTCAGGGCCCACCAAAAGTGGCGAGTGATATCTGAGCCAGGTTCTTTTGGGTATTCCCTAGGTCGACCGAGCCGAACAAAACGAGATGATAACCTGGTGTGGTGGGTAAAACATCAGCAGCGAGTGGGGAGACAGCCGGCTCGTGGTGCTTTACGCATCACCACCCTCGCCTTCTCTCAGTAGATGCTCGCTAACAGCGCTTGCCCCAACAGTCTATACGGGGCATCTTCTTGGTTCTTTCGGTAAAGTCACGTAGAATGAGAATAAAACAATACAATTCTCACGAAGGATCTTAAGGTTGTGTGGAATCCCTCCCCGTAGAGGTCGTTATACGAGGTATCTTTGGTTTTGTGTGTGTGTAATATTCAGCGTATTGTGCGTGCGTGTGCGAGTGGGGGAATGTTGCAACATCGGTGTCGCGTTACAGTGCGAGGGTTCCCCCGCAAGGCCGGGACTTATGAGTGCACGATCCCTGTCACAAGGACGGAGAGAGGAGGGAGCTCACGAACCAATCTCGTCCCAGACCTCTCCACCCCCCCCCCCATCCACCGCCCTGCCCTGTCCACCGCGACTTAAATAAGAGCCATGCTGCGGGTCTGAGCCCCTGAAACAGCGAGAGTCGAGGCCGGGAGTTTCGGAGTCTATAGGAGGGGAGGCGGGGACATCGGGAGAAGAGATTAGGGAGCGCGGGAAGCCAAGAATTCGCAGTCGAAAGGAGGTTGGAGGCTCAATAATATATGCGGTAGAAAAACCAGGGATATATGTGAGACCAAGAGGGAAAAAAATCAAGACACCTAGGACCTTGCAGGCGTTTGAGGACTTGTGAGTCTCTAAAACTAGAAATTCAAGAGACCAGGTTACCAGGCCACCAAGAGACTAGGAAACTCGGAGCCGACACGTCCAGGAGACTAGAAATCCAGGCGACCTCAGGCAATTAGAGTCCGTGCGTTCAAGTAAAGCAGGTGACAAGTAGCCCAGAACACCAGGAGCTCATCAACCCAAGAGACCAGGATTCTCAGAGCCCAGACGTCCAGGAGACCACAGATCTAGGAGACCAGAGAACAGGATTCTAAGGTGACAAGTAGACAGATCAGGAGGACAGCTGGCAAGGAGGCCAGAGGAAACCAGTATCCTAAGAGTCAAAGAGATCAGAGTCCTTCTTGCAATGGGGGCTCCATTCACCGGCTGCCTGGCCTTAGGGCTCATGGTCGCCGCCTGGAGCCTCGGCTCCACCTCGGAGCCTGGGAAGGTTCGGCCGGGCCGTCAGCACGAGGAGGTAAGTGCGCCCTCCATCCTGGAGGCCGGGACGTTAAGAGGGCCCGCACGCGAGGTGGCCGGGTGGCTCGCAGGGTCGGAGCGCCGCGCTCGCACCGCTGAGATGCTGGGTTCATATCCGAGCGGCTGCTGCTTGTCGTTGAACTTCTTTCGCAACGTACGTAGCCAACCGTGCTCATCGGAAGGGCGGGGGAATGACAACTAAGCACAAAAAGCATTTGTAAAGAAACGAGTTTTCAATTTAGATGATTTAAAAGTGTGTAACCCCCAGTGGCTTCCTAATATCGTCAAGGAAGAACGTTCCAGACGGCCGGAGAAGCGCATCTGAAAGCGCGCGACGCGGTGACCGTCTTTGTTTTATGGCCAGCCAAAAGCCGCTGCTGCGAGGATGACCGGGGTTCGCGTCATGGTGGTTTATACTCCCTTGACGAGATCAGCAAGGTGTTGCGATTCATTTGTGACAAGAACTTTGGGTGTGTGTGTGTGTATATAGAACGTTCGGCAACCTTGTGATGCGACCGGGTCCTCACGTGGAACGAATTGATGGTCTCAGCCCCAGTGACCAATGACTCGATGATACAAACCATCATTAACATTGGGCTCTGCACTTAATTGGGATACACTCCACAGCTCTGAGACTTAAAAAGGACATCGGTTTGAACGCCAGTGTACGTTAACATTCCTCGCCACCTTCACCAAATCTGCACCAACCAACGTGGTGAAGTGTGGCCAAACGACCCTAGCGGTGAGGGGAGGCTCTCATCCAGCAGTGGATCGACAGGGGAGTGTTCACGTGCGTCGTGCGTGTGGCACCTCGAGTGAGAACAATCATGCATACGCGTGGATTCTGTAAGGCTTTACAGCACGCGCTTGGATGTACGCAAGTATGTTGAACTTCTTTCGCACCGCACGTAGCCAACCGTGCTAATCGGTGCTCGGGAAGGACAACAATCTAAACATAAAAACACTGTTCATGGAAATTATCTTTCAATATTTTATGATTTAAATTTGCATATCTCCCAGTGGCTTGTCATGGGTAGCATTTAATTAACCACTTCGACGAGTAACTATCATGACAAAATCCGTTTGCATATTCGCAAAGTTTATTTTTTTGCTCTGTTTTTTTCCGTCTTCAATTTTTGCGCAATAAGCCTTTTTGATCAATTCAAGCAACGACACTTTGCACTGAGATTTCGTTCGTCTTGGATCACTCGTTAAAAAAGTTATCGTGGCCGCATGTTACAGCAGACGGACGGACAGAGCGAATGCATTAACGCATCAACATTTGTTGGAAATCTTTCATGGATGATGATGATGATGACGACGATGGTGATGCTGGTGGGGTGTGCGAGCAGAGAACGGCGGGAACGGCGACCGGGCCGTGTCCCTTTGGGGTCCCAGGCCCCTCTGGCCGCGATGGCCTGCCCGGACCCAGCGGGACCCCGGGGACTCCGGGGGTCCCTGGTCTGCCTGGGAGGGACGGGACCCCAGGGCTCCCTGGCAGAGACGGGCCCGCAGGGGAGTGCGGGGAGCGGGGAGACCGGGGCGAGCGAGGGATCTGGAAGCCAAACATCAAGCAGTGCGCGTGGAACGCACTCAACAACGGCCAGGACCTGGGAAAGATACAGGTGAGGACACTTGCAACAGGTACAGACGGTCCATACCTGTCAACTCCTTATCAGGGCCTACCTCATCGCAAACAGATTCAGACCTTATTGGTCACCCCCGTGGCCTTATAAATCACAACGTTCATCCTACAAAGTCCCATCGCAAGGGAGAAACACAAACAAATAGACAATGTGTTTTTGCCGTATTGAAACAGCTGTACTTCGTATGGACCTGATAACTCAATATCCCTGTTCAAGAAAACGGGTAAACCGTATGGGTTGACAGGTATGAGACGTCACCAGTATCTATCACTTGCACACGGACACCACCTGTACGAACGCACCGTCTCCCAAACTGTGGACGTTAAAGATCCCAGGAGATCATTTACAGGCCATTGTGTGCCGGTGTCATAGTCTAACTTTGGCAAATTGGAGAAAAAAGAAAAACACCACAAATCACTGCGAGAACTTGGCAGGACCCTCCTGACAAAAAAAAGTCACGAGACTCACTTTGTCAGTGACTTTTTCCTGACTAAACAAGCAAAATAATACAACAATAATAATCATGAATCTGCTATACACAAGCCCTCTCTTTTCGTGCGAAGCCCAAGGCAAATTTAACCTTTTGCCTTCCCCCCCACGCCCTCCTCCCCCCTCACTGACCTTCACTGCCCCCCCCCCCACTTCCCTCTGGGCGCCCTTCCGTACTACCCCCCTCACCCCCTCCCTTCCTCCCCACAGTCGTGCACCTTCACGAAGGAGCGCGGCGACAGTAGCGTGCGCGTGCTCTTCTCGGGCGCCATGCGTCTGCGTTGCTCCGTACCGTGTTGCTCGCGCTGGTATTTGACCTTCAACGGCGCAGAATGCTCCGGGCCGCTGCCCATCGAGGCCATCGTGTACCTGGACCCGGGCAGCAGCCCCTCCGAGACCAACGCCTCCATCAACATCCACCGCACCACCAGCGGTGGGTAACCCGCCGGATTGTACACGGTGGCGAGATGTTAACGGCGTCGCCTGGTGTATACAGGAGGTCGTGGGTTCCATCCAGACCCCCTGACGCCTGCTGTATATTTGGAGTTTGCAAGTTCTCCCCGTGATCGCGTCGATTTTTCCTCCGGGTCCTCCGGGTTTTCCCCCTGCACGATTATAACCAAAACGTGCGTTTCGAGGATTCGGTCGCTGTACAAATTTCCACGTGAGAAGCCAACTTCGTTGAGCTTATTATTTGTGGCCAGGTCGCTTGTGAAAAAAAAAAATTATGTAACTCAGTGGGCCTTACCTGATAAAATACAAAATAGTTAAAATAGCTATAGTTAAATAGTGTTGCTGCTGCTGCTGTGGTGGCGGCAGATGTCACGGCACGTGAAGGACGACAGTCGGAGACTGATGAGCATCAGTCAGCTATCGAAATATTCGACTGGGAGAGCAACGATCAAATCTGCGCTCACTGCTCGGAGGAGCAGCACACGACTGGCGATGGACTAAAGTGGCAAGCAAATCGTGTCAGACATCATATCGCGTGATCAGCATCATTTGACAGATGAACATCACTTGGCTGACGGGCATGGCCGGATAACGACACACCAACAAGCATCGCTCAACTCATGAACATCGACGACCGATTAGCGTCATTTAACTTAAAAAAAAAACATGACCTAAATGATGGCCGCTTGTTCAAATTAGGCGAATTCAACCGAGCAAGACTAACGACCAACACACAAGTGATGGGCATTCGACCGACCACCACACCACTGGAACCCCCCCCCATCCCCGCCCGCCCCCCGATCAAACTTACAACCGCTCTTCTTTGGTTCTTTCGGTAAAGTCACGTAGAAGGCCGCTTGTGTTGTGGCCGAAACGTCGTGAGAATTTTATCGTGCTATTTTATTTTATCAATTCATTATTTTATTCAACATTCTACGTGACTTTACCGAAAGAACCAAAGAAGATGAATCCTTGCAGTCACGAAAGCTTTAAATGGAAATTTACAACCGCTCGTCAACGAATGCCCCTTCCTCCTGTTGTTGGGCAGGAAGCTGATGAGCGACGTGGCTACGCTCGCGTTGACGTTAGCGCCAGGAGATTGGCTTCAGCTGTAGCCCTCACCGTGAATGTCGGCAACGTTGCAGCGAGAGAGCGGCGGCGCCACCAATGATAGTCACCGGTTTTCACATTTCTTCAAAGCTGCTGTGCACGGGCCCCAGAAGGCCACAAAACAACCAAATTGCCAGCAACGAACGCCGCTCTTAAATGTGCAATCGATACGAGTCAATAAGTGCATTGAATTGAGCGAGGTTGTTTTCAGAGAGCTCGAGAAAAAGAGATGGTTGGGAGGTGACATTCCCAATCGGATGAAGGGCGAGGAAAGAATCGGAGGTGTTTTGACCTGCCGTGTGGTTGGTTGAGCACGGGGTCCTCACCCATGGGTGGGGGGAATCTGAGAGTGAAGTTTCATGGGAACGGTAACCGCGGCAGCAGCGATAGAAGAGCGACGCGGAGTGCTCCAGAACCGCCGGTGGGTGTACGCCGAGCTTCTTTCGCGACGTGCGGAGCCGACCGTGCCAATCGTTGGCGAAGATGTGCGACCCCCGTTGTGAATCTGCGAGCGCCCGGTCATCAATCCGCGGGACCGATGTTTTTTTTTTGTTGCCTTAGGGGCCGTCCATAAATGACGTCACGCACCTGGGGGGGGGGGCTGGCAGACATTTGTGACGGTGTGTGACGATGGGGAGGGGGGAGGGCGAGGTTTGAGAAATGTGACGTCAAATCAAAATGCGCAACTTTAAATAAATTTAAACACGTTCTACTTAATTAAATAGACTTTTGATTTAAAGCTTTCGTGACTATAGGGATTCATATTCTTGGTTCTTTCGGTAAAGTCACGTAGAAGGGAAACAATAAAATAATAAAAAATATAAAACAATAAATAGACTTGATAAATGTTTTCTCCTACAACATCAGAGTGCAGCGCCACATTAAACACGCACTACAACGACAATAGTTTAAAGCGATTTGAAGCATGTTTTTTTCTTTGGGGGGGGAAGGGAGGGCAGAGCTTTGTGACGTCATATTTGAGGGGGGGGGGGGTCTGACTTTTTGTGACGCCGTGTGACGATGAAGAGGGGGGGGGAGAGGTCAAAAATCGTACAAAATTGCGTGCCGTCATTTATGGACGGCCCCTTTGCGCGTAACCGTGCGCCTCCGCTCCCTCCCGCTTGCCCGTGCACCGCCAGTGGAGGGACTGTGCGACGTCGTTTCGGCCGGAGTGCTCGACGTGGCGCTGTGGCTGGGCACGTGCGCCGTCGGGGGCTTCCCGCAGGGGGACGCGTCCACCGGGTGGAACTCCGTGTCGCGTCTCATCATCGAAGAGCTCTTCAAGTAATGGCCGAGCTTTCTCGCTCCCTTCCACCACCACCCCCCCCCCCCCCCCCCCCGCGTATTGAAACCGTTCAATGTTTTACTTTTGAGTATTAGTGTAGGATTATGAAGTCGGTAAAAAAAAACTGGTTCACACACGTGTTGTTGTATTGTTAACTTTCTTTCATCGTACATGTCCAAGCTTTGGTAATGCTATTTCACGTGTTAATTTTCATCTACTTTGTTTACCCAGGAACGATTCACAAAGTGTCAACTCTTTCTGGAGAGTCCTGCCAAATTTTAACAGTTGGGCACTATGATTGCCATGTGTACTCCCAAATAAGTAATTTTCAGGCAATATTTTCTAATTTAGCAAATTTGGACCATGACACCAGCACAAAAATGGCCTACTCTTGCGAATGCCGTCACAGGATCAAAAATGTTCACTGTGAAAGCAGATGCAAAGTAATATTTTTAAGATTAATATCCACAGTATTAAGTCAGGGAGGCTACTGGATATTAACCGATAACATATAAATAATTTCTAAAACCTCTTGTGTTACTGTTGGAATAAAGCTTACTTGCGAATACATATTTAAGAGGTTGATGATATTACACCGTCATCCTGGTTACTATCAAGTGCACCAAAACATTTGCACTGCATTGACATTCACACGGAATTGAAGGGCATCTCTTAAAAGAGGCTACCGCCCACACAGCAAATACATAACCATTCTCACCAGGTGTTGGTGGCTGTGTAGGGGTGTTGTGGGAAGGTAACACACACAGCCACACCTTGGTGGCTCCAACCACGTCCGCTAGAGCCCCGCCCTCAGGGGTGTATGGGTATAAAGGGCGGGGAGCCAGAGAGCTCGGGGCAGTGTGTTGGGGCCAAGAATGAAGAACCAGTGAAGAATGAAGGCCGGCTAGATAGACCCTGGGACTTCCCTGACCGTTGTCCTTTTAAGGGCCGGCAGGGTAAGCCAGTGGTGCGGCCCCAGAGCCTCAAGAGCCTGAGCCCTTTTAAGGGTTGGTCTGGTTGGTGGGGTGCCGTGATCTGTGCTTGACCAGGGCCAGATCAGATAGCCTCCTCTAGCGCCTGTAGCTGGAGGAACTGGGAGCACAGGAGTTAGGCTAGATAGCCTAGGGGGTGTCCCAGCGTATATACGGGTGAAGGGGCCGTTACCCCTTCCAGTGTAACCCTTAAGTTAAATAAACAGTGCTGCCTCTACTCCACCGTCTCCGTGTCCCGTGAACCCACTACAGCTGTATGGAAATAAAGAAATTAGGCAAACTCTGGAAAGTTAGAAAAACAAATTAAAAAAAAAGTTTTTTTTTTATTATACCACTTATATAGCGTGTTGCGTTACAAGACGATCAAAATGTTTCCAAACGAGATTATGTTCAGATCAAGTCACAGAGCCTGACTCACGTTAACTGTACCGTACCCCTATAGTAGTAGTGTGGCGTAGTGAGCAGTGCCGAGTGGTAACTCGGCTACTCGCACGTATACACGGTACCGTTAAATTAAATAGTTCTCCGCTGGAAAAAAATAAAATTATACTATGAACTGGCAAAAATGGCCACGAGGAGTTGCAAACATTCTTCTGAACTTTTCAAACGATCAAACATAAGCTTGTTAATATCCAGTATGGATTCATCTCCCCACAAATTGTGATTGTACACAGTTTGAGTGGTCTCTCACCGTTAATAACATTGTAAATCAGCTAGAGATGAGGCTGGTACCTGACCATTTTTTTTAACCAGGGATTTGTGTCGAACTGGATACATTTCCGGGTCGTTGGTAGACTGGAGCAGATGTGTAACCAATAGCTGCAGACAGAGCGAGCGGAATGCTGGATGTTGGTAGTGTGTGCCAAGTGCGGTGATGATATGTTCCGGATCGCCAACCCAGACCCTGTCTGAAATGAAGCCCCGACTATAACGTGCATGGCCACCTCACCACAATGTTAACATTCACAAGGCAGGTCCCCACCTCTTCATGACAGGTGATGTTTAACACCGTGTCATCTTCATTTTAAAGCCACTCAATCCTTCTGCCCGAAAAATGTACAAAACGGCAAGGTGACGACGCGATGTCAGAGGAATTCACGGATGACCCCTATTAAAGATCTAGCCATACAATCATTCCCAAATCATCATCATAATCATCATATAGTCACTGGCTGTACCTCGTAAACCGGTCTTATGCAATTCACGGGGGGGGGGGGGGGAATCACCGGCCCATAAGGCTTCACTTTTATTTTATAGGCAAACTGCTGCCAAACGACCACTTTTCCAGAAATTAGGGTAGAAAAAATTGGCAAGTTTTAAAAGCTCACCCATACCTCGTAAACCCGACTACTGTACACAACGTATCTTGCAATGCCTCGAGCTTGAGCATAGTTTGCTTTTCCCAAAACAGAAACTTGCGCAAAGTGGAAATTTTTGCCAGTTTAAAAAATATAACAAATAGAACCCAAAACAACAGCAGCAACGTCACTGAACGCGCACATTCTTAAATATAAACCGTAATTAAGTTATAAATGTTATTACTCCTAATTGCATCATGTTATGTCATTAATTTATGAGTGATTACATGGGTGTGCAAGCCCCCTGGTTAATTTCTTAAGTCAACTACAAAACTCCGTTAATAAAGACAAGCGTACTGTTTACATGGCAAGACGATACATTCTAGCAATCGCAATGGCCATAGCAAGATTCATATGCGTTGATCGATTGATGTTCTTTAACTTGATCAAGGGTCGAGAGATCTCCCATCTCCGTTACAAGTGGGATAGGAGTAAAACAACTCATTTGTCAATTTGGGTTAGGCGAATTGATCTTCTTACTGAGAATTATTGAAGATGTTTTCGGTATCGAAATCGTAGCTAAACGGGAGCTCTTTTTTGCTCGATATTAACGCTCCGCAGATCCATTACCGGATGGCCGTGCCGAGGATTGAACCGTCACGTTTCGAACTAAGCGTGCCGACCACTACTAAACCACGCACGTGTCTGCCCGAAATTTAGAATGAGCGACTTTGAGTTTAACATCGCTTTTTCAATTGAAAACCGATGTCAGAAGCTACAGAACTTCGTCGAAGCCTGTTATTATTAGGTTGCATGTAAACAAATGCAATCCAACAACCCAATTTAGATCATAGCAGGGACATCCCAATTTGCAAACTGTTTAACTGAAGTACACTTGAATTTGTGTTCAATTAGGCCAATTGTTTCCCATGGGAGGCAATGAGAGCAACCGAATATTGCCATGGAAATGGAACAATGGGTTTCAAAGTGTTGAGATTTATTTTTTAATATGGCAATGGGTAAAAATCTCCATCTCAAACGTTTTGGCCTAATAATGCGTATCGTCTCATTATGAACTGTTCATTCGAAAGAGAAACCGTGATTAACTTGAACTTGCCAAACACTAACTTTTCTAGTAAAATAACAAGAGGATTTTTTTAAACAGATTATTATATAATAACACTACCATCAATTATTTCAGTGATATTAAAGACAGATTATATAAAAAAAAATATGATAATCTTACAAACGTACCAATCACTATAAATTACAATGAAGAAAACTCTGAGCAGTCCAGTCCACGTGAGCTTCTAACGCACACTGAAGAAGAAATCAGTCTGATACAATATTAATATTACAAGCTAGCCAAGTGAGTCCACGCAGTGAGCCTCAGATGCATGTACATTATCAAGTAGTCTCTGATACAGTATTTAGTGTTACAAGCTGGCCGGTACAGTCCATGCAATGAGCCATAACTGCGCAGGTCATCGTACAAACTTGGCGACTGGATGGAGCCTTAAGCGTTACAAGCCGGGCGCATCAGTCCACCCAATGAGCCTATGAAATGCACCATAAGACGGTCTCGTCTACACCGATAACATTGAGAAGACATCTCCAGCCAATGAACATTCCCATCCAGTGGAAAAACAACGTCCGTAGACTGAAGCATCCTGTTCCGAGGTATAAATGTTTGGGCCGAACAGCTGAGAGAAACACGCACACACACGACCCTAAAGGGGTGGGGGAGGTATACACGGTAGCGATGAAGCGATCCGTATGTGCAACACATTGTCACAACTCAGGATCGCGATTAGATTTAACAATGTTGTTTAAACGTTATGGTTAATGGTAGTGTCGTGTGATACTTTATACAGGAACGGTGGTTCCCAACCATTCTGGACCCTTGGGCCAAACTTTGACATGTCAAGGACAACTTTTTGCAGACCAACATGTGGTATAAAACACCGTGCATTTCCGAAACAAATATCCTATCTGCAAAAGTTCCACGGACGAACGTGCCATGGGTCTTGAAGCCCACTGATGGTTTAGTGGACCACGTGTTGGGAGCCACCGACATTGAACACACAATTCGATTAATTTATCGTGAGCGTACATATGGGTTTATACGACTGGCTGAATCGTTACATCGTAACAACCCGAAGACAATGCCCGGTGCCAAACAGCCTGGTCTAACGCGTGAGCTTGCCGAGGCTGAAGAACGACCTGTGTCAATTGCAAGGTAAGAAAAGCAACGTGGCCGCTATAAATTGCTTTTACGTTTACCAAGAATCATCAGTGTAGTTTTATCCCTGCTATACTGCTGGCTGTATAGAAACATCTTTATCCCTCCCCTACAAAACTGTGGGGCCTCTGGTCAAGAGGAACCAGCGCAGGACAAATATTGTCAGATATGACTATAACATCTTCCTTGAGCGGATGAGCATTCCCTATTCCCATCGGCTGGGCTGCGCGGCACAAACATTTCTCATCTCGGCAGAGTTTTATGTATTTTTTTTTGAGATCCAATACCTCAAATGCTGACCAACGTACCAAAGTAGCGAGCCTCCTGAAATGCATTAACCAAAAACAAAAAGTCGACTGGTAACTTTTGTTAAAAAAAAAATGCAGAATCCTTCAAAAGGGGCTCAGCCCAAAAGCAGCTGTGGCATTTAAATGACCTGGTTATTTTTAGTTCAAATTAGTTGCATCAGCATCTAACTCTCACCTTCCCCAAATGTGAAATATAGAAAACCAGATCAAAATGCCACGTTCCCATGCCACGTCAAGTGACTCGCGACTGTGGAGCCTTCATTACACCGGATGATGTGTTTACAGTATTGATCGATTCCCCCCCCCCCCCCCCCCCCATGTTACACATTTCAAGCACCATAAAAACATGTGTATTTTTTTTAGTTTTTAACGAACGAAAGTTATATGTATCGAGAGGAAATGATATGCGGACACGAGCCGCTTGGACGGACACGACGACGACGACGATTCTAAATTACAGGCAATGGGAGGGACGGGTACTTCACTTTCCCCACTGGGGTTGTCACCTGTCCTGGTTTCCACCAGGATCGTCTCCTCTTGTTGAGGCGGCCGTCCTGGGAAATCTGCTCGTCTTCCAACGACATTAAAAGTCCTGTTTTTTTTTTATTACGAAATACACCGCTCAAGGCAGGTGTGTTCCACGTGTACTTTTCTCCTATCCTTTGCTAGTGCGAGATGTTCTTCTTCCCATATGTCCCGGTTTGTTGTATCCCAGAGGTGGCAACCCTATTTACCACTAAAGGGAGGTGCAGCAAATGAGTGTAAGCGAGGGATTATAGTTATGGATCGTGTTTAGGGGTGACAGTTAGGATTATGGCTGGGCTTAGTGGCAATAGGGCTTAAGGATGTGTTTAGTGCTAGCGGTTGGGCTACTGTCCGAGCCAAAGTTAAGAGTTCAGCCAAAGTACAAGACGTTACTTATCGCAGGTATCGATTCAAACTTGACAATCGTCGCTGCAGAATCCAGTTTTTGTGCTACACCTCCACTTCCGAACGATCTTCGTGTAGTTTGAGAGTTTAATAATGTTCCCAAGTTTCGTTGTTTCAGCTTTACCCACGATAAAAAAAACACGGTTAATTTTCGTGCGCCCCTGCGCAAATGTCAGCAAACCAGGTGGAAAAATCCCAAACTCCCTTCATCCCCCCCCCAAATTCACAAACGCACTCCCACTGAACGTGCGTGGCAACCCGCACGCCACAACAACGCACCCGTGTCCCCACCCACCTCCGGGGTGAACGCCGCCTACGGAGGGATTCGTCGCTATTTTATTGCCATCCTTCCTGGAATGAACCGCCGATTCGCAACAGCTCCGAGGCTATTATTGTGCTCGCTGCTAGAATGTGCTACGTCGTACGCAAAACCTCTTTTTGCTGTTGTTACTCACGGAGCTGCACTGTTGGATGATTAAGAGATGAGCCGACAAAAAAAGATCGACTCGCGATTAGAGCTGCAAATAACGACCAATCGCGCCACCGACCGGGAGCTCTGTTGCCATCGATTAGCCGTGAACGACTGGTACAGTATATACACGTTTGTTGTACTCTATTAGGCATTTCCATAGTTATTTGCATGGGTTGAGTATGTGCCACATAGTTGCATGGGCAGAGACTGTGAGCTGCAGTAAGGCACCCCCAATGAGATGAGGGTTCTGTATCGATCATCAGTAACTGCAACTGTGGGTGGCATGCCTGCTAGCTCAAGACACCGTGTAAACCGTATACCTCGACTAAATAAATTTTCCTGCAAAGACTGACGATTTTGAAGCCGACCTAGTGAGACTCAAAAAATGAACGGTTGCAGCTCTAGTCTTGTTCACCCGATCCAAAGCGGTCAGGCTGGTAATCGAAGGGGGAGGGGGGGACCCTGCCCCCCCCCCCCCCCCACCGAGGCTCTCTCCAAGCATTGGATCCTCGCCTACACGAGTCATGCTCCCTCTATGGGTGGGAATAATCGCTGAACCAGCGCCGACTCCCAGTGAAAGAGGGAAATGGAGGGAAGATTTGCCGAGGCCGATATTCAACAAGTCCCGTTTTCGTGAAACGCTGGCAAGTGTCGTGTGCTCGTGTTCTTAGTGCACGCGGGAAGGAGGTATGCGTGTGTACACACGAGTGGCGTAGGCCGAGGAGAATTGGCCAGCGCCGCCGTGCGAGAGTACCTTGGTAACGAGAGAGAATGCGGGAATGCGGTTGTACGTGTGGGCGAGGATGCGAGTGTAGGAACGTGCGTGCGAGTGTTGATGTGCGCGTGCGCTAGGCGTAGAACTCCTTGGCGGGTGGTGGTTGGAAGACCGGCTCCTTGGTGTCGGCCAGGGCGTACGAGCCCTCGTCCTTCTTCTTCATGCGGTAAATGAGAAGCAGCACGAGGAAGGCGGCGAATAGCAGCCCCACCACGCCGCCGGCCACCACCGCTGCGCAAACCACAACAACAACCACCGCTGAGCACAGAACACCGCTGCATGTGCACATCGACCACATTAACAACCGCAGGGGTCAAATCGCTCACTCCACCCGAAGATTGCTCCGTTACTCGCACCCTCATACCCACCACTGCCCGGTCAAGTGCGAGACGGAAGTTGACCGTCTCACGCGCTCAACTCCACCTTACCCATTTTAACTCCGCTCCTCCACCACCCTCTCAGCCTCATCGCTTAACTTGACCCACTCACTCATTTGCTCTGTCCATCGAATTTCAATTCCACCTTTCATCCACTCAACTCACCCACCCACCCACCCACTCATTGATTCACGCGTATCATTCCGCACCCTAACTCGCCCATTCACACACCCCAACTCGTACATTCATCCTCCGACAAGCCCAATCAACCAACCCATTTTCTCACTCATCTCCTCACCCTCCGACCGCCCCCACCACTCTCCATACCTGCAAGCACCTCCGTGCGCTCCAGGAGGCTCTCTGCCGTCGTTTTGCGAGCCGACACCTCGTTGTTGACGGGCTCCTCGGGGCGTGGCCGGCCGGTGCGTGGCGTGCCCACCTCGTTAGTGTCCACCTCGTCCCCGTCGCCCACCTCGTTACCGCCGTCGTCCCCGATGTCGCCCACCTCGTCGCCGGCCCGCCCGATGCCCCTCCCCTCGGGAATTCGGTTGTCGTCCGGCGAGGAGACGGTGGTGGCCGCAGCAGAGGTGGCCTTGGGGAGCGCAAGACGCACGCGGCGTCAATTAATAAATAAAAAAAATAAACACGGAGAACACGGTGCGTGTTATCAACGTGGCGTCATACCATACACACTGAAGCATCGGACATGCCTTTCACCAAATCTCCCAGGCTGCGCTCGACCTAGCCTCGGAAGCCAAGCTGGGTTTGAGCCTGGATAGTGCTCCGATGGGCGATTACGGTGCATAAAACAGCTTGTTCCAGGCTGCTGCGCGCGTGCGGCTATGTTATGGCAAGGCAAGGGCAGCGCTATGCTGGGATGTCTTTGGAAGGTTGCCTTTACTGGACATCTGTGAACAAGATCCTGGACACCTGTGAAAAACAGCTTTCGAAGCTCATCGGATTCCTCCAGTATTAATAAAGATACGGATTCTGGAAGGTGCCGGCCACAGCTTTTCTCGGCTCTCTCCAACAGTTCGTGGAACCGCGGAGAACGCGCGTAGGGGCCGCGTGCGAACGGAGGGCCCCACCTCCGCGGGCTGCTCGCGGGGTCCGGGCGGCACCGGGCGGTTCGGAGGCAGTGGCGTGCTCGTCGCCGTCTCCTCGTCGTAATCCTCGTTGTCGTCGTCACCGTCCTCCGTCTCCTCCGAGTCGGCGGCGTTCCCACGGGCGGGGGGCTGGGGAGGGGGCGGCGGGGGCGGGGGGCTCGTCCTCGCCGTCGTTGCTACCGCCGCTGCCTCCTCCTCCTCCTCCTCCAACTCCGTGGCCGGGGCCTCGCTCACCGGGCCCAGCGTCCCCGCCGGGGGCTCGGCCTGCAGGCACGGACGGAAGATGGTGGCGCCAAGATGGCAATCAACCCCCATGCACAAAGACAAAGAACCCCCTCTGTCATTGCTGAAGGCCAGCACGACACACAAGATGGTGGGGTGGCCAGCACCAAGTCTCCCCGAGTGGCAATGTTTACACACTGCACCAGGTAGTCATTTGAGGCCGAGTTGACCTGGCGTTGGCCAGGTTCGGGAATCGAACTGGGGTTGTCGGTTTCGAAGCACAGCACGCTAACCACTGTGTCACCGCTCCCCATACCCCACACAAAAACACAAAAAATTTACGTTTAGCCACGAGGACTGGCAGGTACACAGGATGGGGACCGAGTGTGGTGGTGCAGCGTGTGTAGCTGTACCAGTGTGGTGTTGTGGTTCATGACCGCCTGGTATGCATTGTCATGGATTTGATCCCAACCCTGATGCCTGTATATTTGGAACTTGTACGTTCTCTCTCCCTGTGGTCACGTGTATTTTTATCCAGGTCCTTCGGTATGTCCCTCCACATGTAGAATCGACACGCGTTTGCGATGCGACCTGTTGCCAGGTCGCATCTGAATAAGTAGTATTTAAAAAAAAAACTTTTTTTTAAACACGCTTTTATGAAATGTACTAGTAATGGAAGAACTCCACGACTCCGGTAAGTGGCCCCGAAGTTCGCCATAACGTAAGGGACCGTGGTGATTTACAGCCAACGTCAGTTGACCGTGGACAATTAGACCCAAGCCGAAACATAACATATAAAAAAGAATGTTTAAAAATATATTTTTTCATTTTTATGATTGAATATAGTATTGTCATCAGTATGACATAAGCATACCGAGTTTGCAGTCGATACCACATTGGGAAGTGAGTTAAAATCGAGTTACAAGGTTTGAGGATACAACACGACAACAACAGAGTGAGTTAAATGAAAGCATGTAAAGAGCTATACAGCTCAGTGGGCTTTACCTGGTAAAATAAATAGTTTCGTTTAACTGCAGAGGACATTACGTACGGTGTGTGGGTGTAGTGGTGACTACTTGCAGCAGGCTAATGAGCTGGTTGCGATTACCTGCAGCCACGTAGGTGCAGTGTGTTAACAGGGTGGTTGCACCTGGGCACTGCGCTGCGTTTACCTGCAGTTGGACGGAGACGCGGCCGGGCTGTGCCCGGGGCTCTGCGTGCGTGTTCTGGTAGCGAACAGTGGTGGCCAGCTGCTCGCTGGGCAGTGTGGCTGGGTAGCGCACTTTGTCCTGCGAAGAATATCTCAGCACGTCCTCCAGCGAGACCAGGCCTGGGTACGTCACAAAGGTACAAAGATTTCCCCGTGTAGCTTTAACAGACTGTTGAAGCAAGTCCTGTTAAGCGAGGACCTACGAAGGCAAGCATGGCACACGAGGGGGTGGGTGTATGCACAGATACGCAAGCAAGCACTCATACATGCCTATACAAAGACAAAGATCCCCAGTGTAGTCTTTAACTGACTTTTGGAGCAAGTGCTGATAGCGAACACCTATGAAGGCCAGCATAGCACCACGAGGGGGTGGGTGCTCAGCACCACGCCCGGCCGCCTTTGTCTCGCCAGTGGCGATGTTTACACATTGCAGTCATTTGAGACGAGTCGATAAAGGGGTGACCCCATGACTGGTTCAGATAATCATCACTGGTGGTGGCCGTGAGCAGGAAACGAACTCGGGTCGCTGGGTTCATAGCGCAGCGCCCTAACCGTTGCACTACTACTCCCCACCGTCATACAAACACACACACAGACGCGCGCAAGTACACAGATAAAAGCCTTGCACGCAAACTTACACAAAAAGGCACACATGAACGTATGAACACAAAACTCAGAAACTTAAGCATTCGTAGTTTGTAAAAATGTAAGCATTACGGATAGTCGGGGAACTGGCTCATAGCAGGACGGGACACGAACCGGAGCCGGATCCGGAGCCGTAGTCTGCCTCTGCATCGTCATCGTCATCGCCGACCTCGTCGTCCGAGCCCAGGCCCGACGCCCCTCCTTGTGTGTCCAGGTAGATGACATCGTCCATAGTGTAGGGGCTCAGAGATGCCTGCACAAGCGCGCGCACACACACCCCCACACGACACGGTGCTTTAGGACGATACATGGCTCGATCATCATCACCATCGTCAGCCATGATAAACCGACTACTGCTGGATGAAGGCCTCCCCCCAAGCCATTGCCGCCTCTTATGGTCCCGCATTGAAAAGCAGTCCACCCAGCAGCTGCACTCAAAGGCAATTTCAATGGCCTAACGCCACAGTGGACATCCTGAAAAGGCTTATGCATTATATTGCTGCCACTATACCCGCTATATATAAAGAGCACATTACACACCTCTATACAACATCTCTCACCCCTACCTCTGTGCGCTGTGAAAAAGGGCCATTGCTCGAAACGTCATCTTTTACACAGCTCTCTTTAAATGCTGTATTATTGACGATAACGTTTTAGTTTTGTTGTTATTTGTGCTCGTGTACCACTGCTAAACGCAATGTTACCACAACCTCCATGCAATTATCAAAAAAACGGTGTTGCTGCTGACCCAGTAATAAACCAGCACGTTTGTTCACGTGACGACTGTGTTGGGGTGGAGGAGGGTTTACGACAAACATTTTATTTACAAGATTGGACCCAATTTTTTTTTTAATGAAAATCGGGTTGTTGAATGTTCACTTTTCACAAAGCAGCAAGCATTTGATGCACCCCAGGAGGGATGTTGGGCAGAGTCGAACCCAGACAGGGATTCAAACGTGCAACATTAAGACTGTGAGGCGAGCACGACAACCACTTCCCACCACCCAGAGAAATAAAACCCGATGTCATGGAATGGAACAACACAGCACACACACAAATTCGAGATATTAACCACGCAAACTCAAAAACAAGATCATATACCACAGCCACAGATCGATTACATCACACATACAACGCAGAAACACACAATCAGATGCAAGGCAATTGATTTGCTAATTCCCTGCAGAAATTATGGGGTGCCCGCGGTAATCGAACCATCAACGCAGTGTAAAATGGCTCAGCGGGGAGCACGGGCCGATCGCTAGGCTACCACGCCACTTTATGAATGACCCCTAAGACCACTCGCACTGCTATTTGGGCTCCCTAAATCCCCACGTGCCTTAAAATTCCCGGGCTGCCTAAATCTCCCATCTCACCAAATGTGATGACACTGGAAGCTGCCTCTAGGCTCCCGTCTGTATTACAAAAAAATAATCAGAAAACAGATGGACAGCTTCACACACTCAATATTCCTCAAAGCCCATCCACCGGCCTCCTGTTAATCTGTCCACGATAAAACCAAGCGGTTTGGTTTTTGGGTTAGACCACGTAAATATAAATGTGCCGTTAAACCCGCCACCACCCAACACAGCCAATAAGGTTGGTCACGTAAACAAAACATGCCAATTCGTTACTAGCTTACACTGGTGTGCTGGAGTAAACCCACAACATTTACAATTCTAGTAAGCCGTTTCACCTCTTCAGGCGACAACCAGAGTTGTCTAGAAATCATAAATGTTGTGGTTTTACCTTCCCAACACACCAGTGTGCTGAACTAGCACCGAACTGGCATGTTTTGTTCACGTGACAAACTCAATTATCGGTGTTGGGTGGTGGCGGGTTTAATGACACATTTATATTTATGCGATCCAACCCCAAAAAAAACCTCTCATGGATAATATTGGTCGCGAAAGAATACGTGTTAAACTGATTTAACCTCGGTCGTTCAAGAATTCTCCTCACTCCTGTTCACCTCTCTCACCTCTTCCCACCTCTTCTGTCCACCCTCCCATTCCCCTCCGATCCAAGGCGCAATGTTGCCTGCACTCTCAAGCTGCGAGTCTTATTATCCCCAAGCCAAAATCTATGACATGGGGTTGGCTGCTCGTATTTTCTTTCTCCACGTGCTTCTACTTGTGTCGCGTCTCTCGCCACATCCACTGCACTCATCTCGATCCTCCACATCCTGCCATCTCACCCTTGGTCTTCCTCTACTCCTTTCGATCTGCACCTGTGGCATCTCCAGAGCCCTTCTCATTGCATCTTCGTTTCTTAGGAACATGTGCCGAAACCATCAAAGTTTTGCCTCCCTTCTACAGACATTCATCATCTCAGCGAGGTCTCAACCCCTTCTCGACCACTTAGTGCCAGCCAACATCAACGTCTGCACCATGAGTGTCCACTCTTCTTCTAGTTGCTTCTTCGGGTCTGAAAAGGCCCTCCCCTACTGAATGAGTGCAGCTAGCCAGAGTGTGCAGTTTCCAGGTCATGCAGGGAGTGGTGCTGTTGTTACAGAATACGGTCGCACCTCGCATGCGTTAACCCCATTCAACATTGCACAAAAATAACAAACAGAAGCTAGCGGAGGCACCGAACACAAAAAAAAAACCGCGAGAAATTCTGGAAGCGAGATAACATCGAAGCCAGTAAAACCAACAACCAACACAAAAGTCAAATTGGTCAGACCATAAATCGGTACCAGCTGTGGTGATAAACCTTGGAGCTACCCTTTGCATTTTATGGCCAATTAAAGTGAATTATGAGATAACCGACTCATTGGGAAAGGTTATCAGATAATTCACTCACTCTCCTGACAACAAAAGGGGTACCGTAGAAGATTTGTCAACTCAAAACGATAACGGACAAGTGATATTTCTCCAGGGCGGGTCCAAGGACTTCAAGTCAATCCAGCACAGACTCCCATAATGCACCATGAGAATATAAAAAAAAAATATATAAAAATGGCCGTGGTGCTGCCCCTCTTCAAAACCGCCATCCCCCTACCCCAACCCACCCGCAACCCCACGGCCGACCCCTGACCCCGTCAGTTTGTGCCGCAGTTTTAACTTTCAAAAGGCATACCTTCTCAAAGGACTACCATAGAGGTCATGGTGCGTGTTTTCTTAGGACAATGGCAACGCTAAACCTCTCATGTGAAGTGACCAAGCCTCTTTATTCCCCTTTTATTATTAAATTCTAGTCTCTATAGAAAAGAAAAACAAATTAGGAAAGCGAAGGGGAGGGGTTTTAAGAACACAGAAATGTCGCTGCCTCGTCGCAGGGCCACTCAGAGTCTCAATGCACGCGTCGCCGAGACAATCACAGGGCTGTTTTTGCTCGGAATTTGCGGCATCTGCGTCTGTTCTTTGTGCCTCGAATCGTGCAAATGAGCGGACGCAGTGCCCTCAGTCTCCGGCCTCAAGACCGTGCCCACCCTCCTCCCCACCCCTTACACACAATGGCAAAGATGGCTGAAGTGGGGGGGTATTCCAGGGTTAAAGGTCCGCTGTGTTGAGCCAAATAACTTTGGCAGTGTGGAGGTAAATTAAAATCGCCGTTCGTGGGAGTCGGCCATTGTGTGGCAATGTCAGGGCCCAAAATCCAGAGTCTGAAAAATTACTTACGACTAAAAAAAAAATCCAAGAAACGGTCCTTGCGCAAGCAACTAAGCATGATCACGCAAAAACTTGCCATCCAGACGGAGCTTCCCAAGCAATTTTAATTCGTTATTAAACAAAACCTCGCTTTTAATTTGTGCCCCCATCTTGTCAGAACTCAGAAGCCAAGCAGCCGTGAGCCTGGCATAGTGTTGGATGGGTGAATAACCTTGCACAAAACAGGTTGTCATTGGACTGTGGCGCTATATTGTAGGCAGCAGAGAGCAATGTAGCAAAATCTATTGTCTTGCTGTACTTTTAAGTCCTCACCGCTTATGCGCTCCACCTTCACCAACCCACAACTGCCCAGCATGGTTATGTTTTTTTAAATAATACCGATGCCCCGCATGGTAACAGGAGGCTCTGCTTCAGCAGTGGATTTACAAAAGCGCCAATCTTTTGACAATCACTAAATCACCAAGGTCCAGTCACTCATCTGCCAAGTACTGGTATATGGCAGTTTCGCACAGTTCAGGAGTGGCCTGACCCTGATAAGACAGAAATGGCCATTCACTGAGTAAAAGTTCTCCAAATATGGTCAAGGCATTGGTGCACAAGTTACAAAAGTCTATTTTTGCAGGTTAAATCAATGAAGCTTCTCAAAGTTATTTATTGAGTGGCTTAAGTTGGATTTGAACTGGTCAACCAGGAACTGGGAGGCTAAATAAGGAATTGGGTGTCACTCCAAGTCAGACAGCGGTCTGCGAACTGATAATTTCAAAAGGTGCTGGTTGGCTCAGCTTTCGCAGGAGTCAGCTCTGCGAGTCACCCAGCCATTTTCACCCCCATTTCTTTTGTCAGCAATGTTCAATTAAAAATGCCACTTTGTCTTTGGTTATATCTGAAGTAACAGCTTCCCTTTTGTTTGCATTACATTCCTCAAAAAGAAAGGGGGCTAAAAGAGGAAGCTAAAATTCTCTGCATTTTCAGTTCTAATTAAAGCAATACTTTAATTTGCGGCAGTACGCACACCAATGTCGAGCGTGTCTCAACTCCAAGACTAAATTAACTATGGCTTCAACGACCTGGGTTCCATTCCCAGCAGTGATGCACAATGCGAGTGGCAAGTGGTGACTGAACCTGGCCTGGGCCTCCCATAGTTTAACTCGGCCTGTAGTGCACAAAAATGTATCATCATCATCCATGATCAATCCACCGGTGGACAAAGGAAGGCCTACCTTAAGCCGTTGCCATCTCTTATGTGCCTGCGATCTTTTCTTGCAATGGCAGTGCACAAATAATGGTAAAGGGGAAATAACAGCTCAGCAGGTACAAGCCTCGATAGTGCCTTTATGGGTATCCACCATAAACTAACAGGTTGTCATAGGGCTGCAGGGCTACATTGCAGGCAGGAGAGAGCACTGCTGCTGCAAAAAAAAGGTTGTACTGTACATCCATGCTCCCACGTATACAGTCCGTCCATGCTTTCATCAACCCATATTGACCAGCTTGGCAAAGTATGGTCAAATAACTCCCATGATAATATTATTTTTATTTCACATAATTCATGCTAATTGCACCCCGTACCGCAGTACATTAATTATATACAAGGATGAAATCCTATATACTGGCTACTACCAAGCAAATGAAAAAAACC